TCTTTCTTTCTTTCTTTCTTTCTTTCTTTCTTTCTTTCTTTCTTTCTCTCTCTCTCTCTCTCTCTCTCTCTTTCTTTCTTTCTTTCTTTCTTTCTTTCTTTGTCAAACATGTACAAGATAACAAATATAGGTATGAACATAAACATTAACAAAGACCAATAAATGGGGACAGTAAGATGGGGCGGTAGGCATGCCGATGCACTTATGCCCACCCTCTTTAAGGACCTCTTAAAAATGGGGTGAGGTCCATGGTAGACAGTTTGAGGTTGAAGCTGTGAGGAGTTGAGGCTGTAACATTGGAGTTAGGTAGGGTGTTCTAGGCGTTGACCACGCTGTTGCTGAAGTCGTAATTTCTGCAATCGAGTTTGGAGCAGTTTACCTTGAGTTTGTATCAGTTGTTTGCCCGTGTATTATTGTAATTGAAGCTGAAGAAGTATATAATTAGAAATAGCATTTGTACATAGATTGTGGTTATTATTTGGCTGTTGTGCTCATAATTTAAGCAATTTTAACCAAAAAAAATTAAAAATGTAATTTAGGACCCACTACTCTGCCATATTCATCTATTTCATTTAACAATATTTTCCCAACCTTGTTCAGATTTTCTACAAAGAATACGTCATCAGCAAATGCCTGTGTTTTATACTCTTCCTTTTTTATCTTGGTGCCTGTAATTTCTTTTTTATTTCTAATTTGATTTAATAAAATCTCTATTACAAGTATGAAGATCAGAGGTGAAATCAGACATCCCTGTCTCACTCCTTTCACTATGTCAAATCTTTCTGTGAAATCACCATTTAACCCTTACACTGGCTTTCTGACTTGAATAAATTTCCATTATCATTTTTACAAAGTTTGGCCCAAATTTCACCTCTTTCATCTGAAATAAAAAAAAGTTCCCAATTTAAATTGTCAAATGCTTTCTGCACCTCCAGAAAAATCACTGCTACTGGTTTCTCTGGATGCACTTCATAATATTCCAATATGTTCATTACTGTCCTGGTGTTGTTTCTAATTTGTCTTTTTGGGAGGAAGATCTCTGTTCTTTTCTGTAATTAGTGGAAGATTTTTCCCCTTGGGATATTGTTCTGTCTTACCCCTCTCTACTTGATCTTGTCTATATAAATTTTCATAATATTTTGTATAATATTTTTCCCCTCCAGAAGGTTTTGGGGAATCCCCTTTTCATCTTGTAGTTGTTGAATTAATTTCTTTTCCCTTGCCTTTTTTAATTTATAAGCCAGCCATCTTCCAGGCTTATTTACTTGTTTTAAAAAAAAATTGCCTAACCAATTTTATTTTTTTTACATATTCCTCATGATTTAGTAGATTTAATTTATGTTTAGTTAAGTCCCTTTCTTTTTTTATTTTATCACTTTGCGGTTTCTCCTGTAGTGTTATTTCCAATCTTTTTAGCTCTTCCTGTAGTTCATTTTGTTCTTTTCATTTCTCTGGCTATATATGCTATCATGATCCCTCCCATGTAGGCTTTTGCTGTATCCCATAAATTCTGGAGAGTTGTATTTTGATTTTTTTTTTTACTTTAAGGAAAAATTCTATTTATTTTTTGATTATCTGTAACTATTCTTTTTTTTTCAGTATTTGTGTATCTAACATCCACCTTCTATTTTTCTTTTTTTGTCCTTTTCAAATTATCTGTAAGGGATTGTGATCTGCCCAAGTATTAGTCAATATTTCTATGTCTTTCACATTATTTTCTAATTCCTTATTCATCCAAATCATATCTATTCAGGACCATGATCAATGGGGGTTTGAATGATAGGTATATTTACTTTCCTTCCCTTTTAACTCTCTCCAACTATCTCTAAAATTCAACTCACTGGCCAGATCAAAAAATGTTTTTCTCCTTTTCTTGGTTTTTTTTTTTTGTACTTTTGTAATCCTTCTTTATATCTACAACTGCATTAAAATCTCCAATTAAACAAATATAATCTTGTCCTAATTCTAATATTTTTTCATGTACCTTGCTATAAAATTCTTTTTGGTTTTCATTTGGGGCGTATATTATCATTAATAATACTTTTTTGTTGGATTTCAATTTCTATCATTAATATTCTTCCATTTGGATCTATATTTGTGTTGCATTTATTTTTTCCTTGATATAACTGCTACTCCTTTTTTTCCTGATCTGCCAATGAAACAATAGCTTTCCTAATTTTGGTTGTTCTAAATAATTTTTATGTTGTCTTTTAATGTGCGTTTTTTGCAGGCATATTATATCTGCTTCTAGAGATTAGTGAAAATTTGTTTCCGTTTAATTGGAAAATTCAATCCATTAATATTTATAGATAGCAACTTTATTTCTTCTTCCATCTTATTGTCTATATTGTTGTCTTGGTCTTCTATTTGTTCTATTTTCCTTCTGTGCTCTCGTTCTGATCCCCTCTCCTTCATTCTTGTTTTTTTTCCATCCTTGTTTCTTTCTTCTTGTTCTGAGTCCTTCTCATCCAACTGCTGTCCTTCTGACTTCTGGTTTCTAACTCTTCCTTACTACCCAGTTCCACTATTATCATCAGTTCGTCGTAAAAGTCTTGTGCTTTCCTTAGACTATTCTGAGTTTCTTCTCATGCCTTCTGGGATAAGCCATCTGAATGTTATATTATGTTTTGTTAGGTGTGTTGTAAGAAAACGGTAGTCCCTCCTTTGTTCTCTAATTCTTCAAGTTTTAGTGTCTGTATTTCTTTACTTTTATAAGTCGTGATTTCATATCTCATTGCTTTGTATACTTCATCTCTTACCCTTTTTTTTTTTTAGTAAACCTAATGTGTATTTTCCTCAGCAATTTATGACACCTGGCATAAGTAGTACATACTCTATAGATTTCATCTATGTCATTTTGGATCTCTCCAATCTCCCATTGGGTAGCTTCTGCTATTATTTCTGCCATTATCATTTTCAGGTCTTCATCTTTATCTTTGGGCACATTTTGAAAGCGTAGGTAAAAGGCAGCAGGTTCCATTTCTAGGTTTATAATGGAATCCTCTAGATCTGTATTTACAGCTGCTAATTTTTGGTCTACTACTTCCAATTTTTTTTCAGTCTGCTTCATTCTAGTTTCAACCACTATAATTCTTTGTTCATTTTTTTCCATTATTTGTTGGACTTCACCTAATTTAGTTTCTAATTTGTGCATATTTTTTCTCATTTCTTCATGGTTTTTAATCATAGTCTCTTGCATCTTAAGCATCAGTTCTTGAACCATCAGAAGTATTGTCTGCATCATCTGTGCATTGGTTGGGTTACTTGCTTTTTCTGCTCCTAACATCATGTTAATTGCTCTCTGTCCTGAAGGTGATGCTGACGCCAAAGAGGTGTTGCCTTTCCCGTGTGTGTAACAGTTGTGGCAGTTGTCGTTTTTATTAATTTATATAGCTTTTTCCACTCTACTATCCACTTAGTTTTCATCTAGTTGCACCTACTTCTCAGTAATGTTTTATGATTCTCTTTCCAACCTTTCAATTATTCCCTTCTTTTAATATTTAATATTACAATCAAAGCTGTTCAATGTATCATCTGTTTATATCACAATCTTATACCCACTTTAAGTAATATGATATGATTAAATTATATCACAATCTCATATCCATTTTAAATAGTATAATATCATTACCTTGTAGTTAATTACAATATTATTTAACGCATTGTTATTTGGTAACTGATGATTAATTAAGCTAGCTTAAACAATCCTGTATATAGTCTAAAAGTAGTAATTACTCACTTTAGTTTATACACTAAATATAGTTTACTCTCTTTAAACTAAATATATTCCACAAAGTTCTATTATCAAAAACAACAATTCCTATTTCACTCTATCATATACTTTCAAGTTTTGTATGCTAAATAAACGTTACAACCTTAACCACTATCAAATTAACAATATAAACATAGATAGTGGGTCAAATGTTTTGCTTTAAACAAGTTCTTTTATCACCTTATTTTCCAGTTCTTTATTACATGTAAATGTTGCTGTCTCCTTTCTTGTTAAGCTCTCCCGTCATCTATTGCATCAGCCATTCAGTGTCATAGCACAAGAGTTCCTTCCTTCTTTGTTTCAATTGTTAAATATTGTTCAAATAGTCCTTTTCAGCTTTCTTTCTTTTAGTTGTCCTATTTCTTCCAATCGATCCTGTCCTCACAAAAAACTCTCTGCATCTTCACTCTCCTTCACTTTCCTTTTCCTTTCAGCCATTCCGCTGAATTCCTCATTTCAAATTGCTTAGTCACTTTATCACTTGGTCTCTTTTCTCTGTACATTCAGTGTTGTAATGACGAGGCAGTTGAGTTGTTTGTTCATGAACAACTGAATTATGATGATGATGATCTTTATTGGAGTATAGTCTTGCATTTATATTCATTTTTAGTTATCCTCCATCATTGGTTAACTTTGGTTACTGCTTAACTTTCGTTACTGTTTAGTACAGTAATCCATACAATTAATTATCTCTAGTTAAAGTCTAACATATGTCTACTTCCCCTCTCTAATCCTCCTTTATCCATAGATTAGTGACTTTGTTTGCCTGAGTTGTATTTGCTTGGAAACATTCTTTATCTGAAGTTTGCCATCCGAGATTGGAACATTCCTGCAATTACAACTCTACAATTCAGGGTTAATCCCTTCCTCCAACTCCAACTCCCCTGTCCTTCTTTATCCAACCATTCTTTCCACCTCTCTCTTCACTTACACTTTCACTTACTCTTGCTCTTGCCACTTCCTTATTCTCAGACCAAACCTTTCCGGTCTCTTCTTCCTTTGCGATACCACTCTCACCACCTTTTAGCCACTGTCCTTTGAGACCTTCTGTCTTTCTCCATCCGAGCCTCTTCACTTGCCAGCTGATCTTAGGACTTTCTCTCCTCCCACGCTATTGTGATTACAGCTCCTGGGATTTAGCTCTCATCGGATGTCACACTTTGCCAATCTTCTCCTTCCCAGTCTGGCAGCTGTCACAGCTTCTGGTCAGCCATGTTAGTATGACTGACACTTTCGCTTAGGATTTGTGAGGTTTCCCTTCATTCCAGCGGGTGGTTGCCTATCACCATGCTGCCCCTGAGTTTCCTCTCTTTATTGCATCTCCCTCCGAGAAAATATGACCCTCTGATTGGGCTCCTAATGCAAAAGATCGAGTCCAAGAGACGGAGCCCAATCTCTCTTCCCCGAATTGCTGCAACATCACTGCAGGAAGCCACTATATTATATTTTTAATAGTTATCCATTGGAGCTATAAGCAAATCTGACATTCCAATTTTAGATTCTAAGCTATACTGGCTCACATCTATAGATTCTGAAATTTTGTGCTGTTGCAGCAATTCTAATTGATATTTCTTTATCCAGTATGTCTATTGAATATTCCAGATTGAACCCTGTTTCTTTGAAGAGCCCTATTTCGAAGTTGTTCTCAATGTTTTGTTTTAATTTTGTAGATTTCATTCCACAAAACCAACGTTTTGCATTGCAAACCACTAGTGAGAAATGACAATCCCATTAAGAGGTTTTATGGAATACTTTATTCTTGTACTAAATATCCTAAAATTCACATGGTTCTATTAAAATATTATAAATTGTGTAATTCTGGTATTTATAATTTACATGTGCCTGAGTGTTAGCAGAAATATCTTGCTCAAAAATCTAAAAACCATCTGTCAAAGAAAGCAGATACTACTTGAAGAGAGTGGACTTTTTGAATCATTCAGCTTTTATTCTGGCAAATGATGTAAGCATTTCTTTATTTACTTTTATCTATTATTTTTGGTTCTCAACAGATTTTTACTACATGACCTGTCGGTTTCAGAATTGTTCTGAAAAATCACTGAAATCTCCCTTCAACGGTAGGATTGACAAGAATTCCTTGACAGTACAGGATGACTATATATTCCTTCAGGTAAGATCATTGACTATATTAATGTTACATAATTTTCAGCACAAATCTATGCTTGTTACTTATGAAGCTTTTTAATAAGGAAATAAATGCAGTCTCAAGAAGGTGGTGCAAAAATTACTGTAATCAAATGTTGGTGTCTCCTTTAACCCCCAAATGATAAGTTATTTTCTAGCCCAATGCTAATTGTTCATGTTCATAAGTTATTTTCTAGCCCAATGCTAATTGTTCATGTTCTTGGTTTCATTTTTCCATGGGATTACTACAAATGCAAGTATCAATTTAAACTGTCTCTGATGTTGCATAATTTGCATCATCCTTACATTCATTTCAAATTTCACACCAAAATTCAAATAGTTTTGATTCTATCAGATAGCTGTTTAATTGGTTAGCTATTTTCAAGACTATGTAACACAGGTTTGGTAACTTTGTGTCTATACAATTCATTTTTGCATTTGTACAGTTTCCCCAGATTAACAAAGCTAGTCTCATTTGTTTCTCCCACAGGTGCTTTTTTCAGGAGTCAACTGGACTTTCTTGTTTTTTCTTTGAAGACGTTTCGCTTCTCAGCCAAGAAGCTTCTTCAGCTCTGACAGGATAGTGGGGAATGGAAGGATTTATACTCCTTGTAGACAGCTGGTCATTTGTATCCTTCTAGAGGGCTGTTGAAGTACTTGGAGGTTTATCTGTATCCTCAGGGTCACCTGAGTAGTGCCTATAGTCTGCAATTTTTTTTTAGGAATACAGAAGCTGAAGATGCTTCTTGGATGAGAAGTGAAACGTCTTCAGAGAAAAAAACAAGCAAGTCCAGTTGCCTCCTGAAAAAAGCACATTTGGGACAACCATGACTTGGATGACTGAGAATCTCAACTCTCATCTCTCTTCTTTACAGCTTTGCTCATTGTATCCCCAGTTGTCCTCTTACTCCAAAAATAATGTTTAAAAATGCAAGCATGCAAGCTGTTAACAAGCTTGATAGGTATTCTTTCCCCACTTCACTCAAGAAGAATTTCTGCAGATGACCATGATTGCATTGTGTGTTCATTTTCTCTATAGTCCATGTTCCTAATTAAATAACTCATTACTGTGTACATTTTTACCATTTTTTTACAGATAAAATTGTACTTCCCTCTGTTTTCACAGGTGTCTTCAGGAAACCAAACAAAATACTATGTTTCTTATCGTCGGAATGAATTTATACAGATGAAATTGCCAAAGTACGCTTTACCCAAGGTACTTCTTCACAAAATCCATAATTTTTTCATTGCTGGACTAGAAGAGATTTACTCAAATTGTTTATTGGAAAATATTTTTTATTTATAAATCCTTCTGCAAGAGTTTCTATAATTTCTATACTTGTATTTTAGGGGTGGTTTGCACAAGCACCACTTATAACCTATGATAGAACATCATTATGGGCTAAATCTTATGTAGATGTTTGCCTGCACACAGAAAGAACAGAATATGAAGAAGGAAGGTGCAGGAAGCATGAAAGTCCCACATGCAGAGTCCCGCTGCTTTTGTCATCTCAAAAATTTTGAGGCTCTGGGCTTTGGAGCAGATTGGCTACCAGTTCAAGGTTGGCTGGTGGCCTGCTGTCTGGGGAAAGACTCCAGCTCACTACCCGAGCTTCATTGCGGCAGCGGGGTCACTTGGTACTGCAGCTCAGACTGGAAAAAGCTCTGAACATGTGGTGCTTCTATTCAACTTGTACTGGGGCACCAGCGATCTTTGCTGCTGCAATGAAGCTTAGGCAGTGAGCTGCTGCTGGACTTCTTGCTAGTCTGCTTCTTGCCAACTTCTTGCTAATTACTGAGTCTATCATCTGCACCTCTGTAACTGTCTGGTTTGGTTCTGCAACCCAACAAGACAGACACAGACTTCAGAGAGTAATTAGGACTGCAGAAAAAACAATTACTATCAACCTGCTTTCAATTGAGGACCTGTATACTGCACGAGTCAAAAAGAGGGCTGTGAAAATATTGACAGACTCCTCACATCCCGGACATAAACTGTTTCAACTCCTATCCTCAAAACGACGCTATAGAGCACAGCACACCAGAACTAGACACAAGGACATTTTCCCCCTGAACTCTGCTAACCCTAACCCTAACCCTAACTCTGCTAAACAAATAATTCCCTCAACACTGTTCAACTATTTACAAAGTCTGCACTACTATTACTATTAATCTTTTCATCATTCCTTATCACCCATCCCCTCCCACTTGTGACTGTATGACTTTGTGGCTTATATCCTTACAATTTATATTGACTGTTTCCTAGTATGACTTGATTGCTTATTGTACCCTATGATTATCATTCAGTATTGTAACTTATGATTTTTGACTCTTGACTAATGTATCTTTTCTTTTATGTACACTGAGAGCATTTGCACCAAGATGAATTCCTTGTGTATCCAATCACACTTGGCCAATAAAGAATTCTAGTCTAGTCTAATCTAGTCACACAAACACGGAGTTTTGGTGATTGTAACTAAGTTTATTATTTCATTTTATAATGTAGTATTATTTATGTTTTGTTGCATTTTTAATTTTTAATTAAATATTAGCCCAATTGCATTTTAATCTGGAACAAACCGCATTCAGAATGTAATGTACTGTTCATGAAAAATTGCACTTCCATATTGAGCTGATCATAGTCCGATATGATTCCAAAAGAAGTACTTAGGATAGTATATGCTATTGATTAAAGCAGCTGAGTCTTTTTTCAAGTTCCTGCATAAATGTGGAAAAAGTTTAAAAGTCAATTAATACAATTTTTAAATACAGCAGCATTTTTTTTGCACGCCTGTACTTGAAAAAGTGATTGCAGAGAGCTTCCTTGCTATTCTTTTTTTCTATCCCAAATAATACTGAGTTGCTTTGGGGAGATGGGAATCATGCTATGCAGTATTTTCATTAACACTAGGTAGCTCCAGATTGTAAGTATGGTATTTCCCCCCCTTTTTTTTCCCTTCAGGATTTACAGATTATCAGCACTGATGAGAGCCAGGTGTTTATAGCTATCCAGGAATGGTATCAGATTGACACATATAACCTCTACCAGTCTGACCCACAAGGCGTTTCTTATTCCATTGCATTAGAAAATGTCAGGAGTACCAAACAACCTGAGGAAAATGTTTTAATAGATATTTTGGAGGTAAATATCTCTTTAACAAAACACTACAATCTTACTAATTATAGTAACATTTCTTCAGCCTCTTTGACTTTTGGTTTAAATATTTTTGTACTGGTTTTCCTGTTTTCATAAAATGGAATATTCCTATCAATGTAACTACACCTTATTTGAATACAGGTAATCCTCAGTTTAAGAATGAGTTTGGTTCCTGTTGTCTGTTAAGATGAATTTGAAACATAAGCTGGAACAATATTTTTGTATAATACTGTATAAGTAGTATGGTGTAATGAACTTGAATTATAATGTATTTCACTTGAATTTTGCCTCAGTAGGCTCATTTCTTAATTATGGATCATCCTAAAACTGGGGGTTCTGTATTATAGATAGTACTATAAATAGAAAAGTAGGGGTGTGTGTGTGTGTGTGTGTGTGTGTGTGTGTGTGTGTGTGTAAAATAAAAGGAAAAAAGGTATTCCTCTTTGTTTTAAGTATATTTTTGACAATGGAGGCTGCATAGCTATTAATTAACTGCCTTTCTGAGACATATTGACCTGATAGGAAGAAAATTCTCCAATCAACAAATTTTATATACATATATCTGCCTACATATGTAATTCAATCACATTTATGGGGCAAAATGTATGTCAGATATATAATGTATACACTATCAGTCTGGACATATGTAGCCCATTAATTATTACAAATAATTGAATTGCCTATTTGCCTTTCATATTGTGGCCCCCAGTTGTATTTAAACACATAGGTAGAAAACTCTTGAAGAGATAACTCCACCCTTTCTTTTTATCCCCTGGTATCTTGTAATAGTTTTCTACCTATGTGAATGACTTTGCGGGGATGAGCGGAAGAAGTGCTGCTTAAGAAACAGACAAGAGAGTCAGGAATGGCTTAACAGGCAGAGAAAGAAACTTAAGAAGGACTCCCCCCTAATTCATCAAGTAGTTAAAATTGGTGGCTTTTGTACCTTCACAATTGCCAGATTCTGCTAATGTAGCCTTACAGTGAAGCAGAATTGGCTCATCTAGTCATGTTTCCTGTGTGGTTTACCTGGAAGGATTGACATACCCCTATCCTCTCTCAGCCATGTGCTATCTTAGAGTGCCCAAGAATATTTGTCTGAAATGATAGTCTTTTCCTTCTAATATAAGCTGTTGAAATGATAAGATGTTTTACCTCCACAGGGAATTGATTTGGTGTATGACAGGAACGTTTTATTTGGTCAGTCAGATGACTAACCCTATACAATCATGTATCTTAAAGGGATTAGTTCTCAACAAGAAATCTCAACAATATTTATAGGATAAGGATTTAATGCTGCATAAATAGAAAAATACCTAAACCCATGTGACTAAAAATATTAACCAACTACCTAATTACCATGTTTGACTAGAACCTATCAATCTTTTCAACAACGAACACCTCCAACTTATGCCTTCTTCAGAATTGTTTTTTTTTAATTTTATTGGTTTTTAAAAACAAACATAAACAAACAAAACAAAAAAACATCAAGCTATCTTCCATAGATGTACATACAGTGTGCCGGTTGGTTTACAAATTGTTTTGTGCTTCCATTTCGTAGTCTTCAATTACAATTACATTACATATTGTTAGATCGGTGGATCGGGTCACATAAAGAGGCAAGATACGGTAGTGAACATTCAGCTCTTTATTATAGCTTGAGAACAAGGACAGCAAAGGCTTGCGAGCCGCTTGGCTTTATACAGCCGGCCAGCGGCTCGGCGGCCAATGGCAGCGCTTTGAATCTCCCGCGATCGGCTCGGCCAATCGCGGTAGATTCTTAGCGCTCCAATCACAGGAGTTCAGTAAGCCAATCATGTTGCGGTCCGGGTGGACCGATCGGAATGCGAGTCTACAAGAATGCTAATACAGAACACCCCTCCCCTCATGGTTTCGTCCGACGCAGCGTTGTGACGTAGTCGCGCAGGTAGGTGGGGCTCCGTACCTGCCTAGTTGACCTGCGCGGCTCAGTCTGTGTGTGATTGTCGGCCGGTTCGACCGGGCTCCACGTCGCTCTCAACCCTGTCGATGGAACCGCCTGGAAGGGTGAGTCGGGCCTGTTCCTGCTGCTCCTGCCTGGTCTTTCTGGGCTGGTTGAGCTGGCTTGGCTGTACCTTCCAGGTGAAGCTCCCGTCTGCGACAGCTCGAGGTCTGCTGGTGAGTATGGTTGGTTTATTTGGACGTTGCTATCTTTTGGTGGGGGGTGTTCGGCTTGCGTTGGGGGGGGTGCCGCTGGCGTTTCCGGCCTTTTGTCATTCCCCTGCTTGGTTGTTGAGGTTCCCCCTCCCTCTCTGCTTTCTGTGATTGTCGTTGTCGAGGCGTCGGAGGTGTTGACGGCCTGGACCGTAGCTGGTCAATGTGCCGCTTCCAGCTTCTTCCATCCGTTGTTTGGAGTCTGTATGACCGGGGGCTGGTTACCTGTGTTATTTGCGCAGGTACCCAGAGTGGGTCTCCCCTGAAGTTCTTTGCGTAGACTGTGTCCCCGGTGTTGAATGCCCGGTGCCGGCTGGAAGAATCCGGGGGTTTCTCCGGGTTGTAGGTGGGGTGTAGCCAGTCCAGCGGTGACCTCAATTTCCTGCCCATCAGTAACTCCGCTGGGCTTTTGTTTGTGGTCGTGCTGGGCGTGATGTGCTGTATGAGAAGCATTCTATTTATCTTTACTTGAATGTCGCTGGTTTCAATTTTCTGGATGGTTTTCTTTGTGTATTGGACCATTCGTTCCGCCCGTCCATTCGCCGCCGGGTGAGCCATCGAGGTTAGGGCATGTCTGATGCCCCATTCAGCCAGGTATCTTTCAAATGTCAGTGCCGTGAACTGCGGGCCATTGTCCGACACTAAGACATCTGGTAGCCCATGTGTTGCAAAGAGTCTGTTAAGCTTATCGATGACCGCTTCTGTTGTTGTTGCCCTCATGGTGCTTACCTCCAGCCAGTTGGAGTAGGCGTCCACGGTGATGAGGAATGTATGCCCCTTGGTCGGCCCGGCGAAGTCTATGTGTATTCGCGACCATGGTCCTCTGGGGGTTTCCCATTCCAGGACTGGAGCGGCGGGGGTGGTGGATCTCGTCTCTTGGTACCTGTTGCACCCGGCGACCCATGTCTCGATTTGCTTGTCCATCCCTGGCCACCAAGCGTAACTTCTGGCCAGGACTTTCATCTTGACAACTCCCGGGTGCCCCTCGTGTAGCATTGCCAGCACTCTTTCCTGTAGTGTCTCTGGTATAACTACCTGGTCTCCCCAGAGTATGCACCCCCTTTGTGTGAACAGCTCGGTTTGGCAGTTTCGGAAGGCTTTGAACTGTTCGCTGCCCTCATTTTCCGGCCACCCCCGCTCTACCCAACTCAATACCCGCGCCAGCCGTTTGTCTTTATTTGTTTCTCGGGCAATGTCTGGCGTGGTTAAGAGTGGGCTGGGTAAGTCTCTATTTGCAGGGTTGTTGTTGTGGGCGCTGGGTCGTCATCTAAGTCTGGTAGTGGTGACCGGCTTAGTGCGTCTGCATGCAGGATATTCTTGCCGGGCCGGTGTGACAGTTCATACGAGTAAGCGGCAAGGAACTCGGACCACCTTGTCATCTGGGGTGACAGGATGTTTGGGGTGGCTTTGTTCCCTGCGAGTATTCCGAGTAAGGGTTTGTGGTCCGTAATGATCGAAAAGGTCCTACCGTAAAGGTACTTGTGGAACCTTTTCACTCCGGCGACGATGGCGAGGGCTTCTTTGTCCAGCTGGCTGTAATTTCTTTCCGGTCTGGCCAGCGATGGGTGCTTCCTTCCCGTTGGGTAGAGTGTGGCTGAGGACTGCTCCGATGCCGAAGGGCGATGCGTCGCATGTCACCGTTAGCGGCAGGGTCTCGCTATACTGGATTAGGACTGCGTCTGATGTTAGCAGGTTTTTTTGTCTGTTGGAATGCAGTCTCCTCCCGCTTCCCCCAGGTCCAGGTGGCTGCTTTATCGAGTAGCCGGTGCAGAGGTTCCGCCACAGTCACCTTCTGGGGTAGGAAAACATTGTAAAAGTTAAGCAGTCCCAAGAATGCCTGTAGTTCCGCCTTGTTTGTTGGTGTGGGGGCTTCTTTGATGGCTCTGAGTTTCTTTCCGGTTGGGTGTATTCCGTGCCGGTCTAGGAGGTACCCCAGGAATTCGACCCTCTCGGTGTAGAGTTGGCATTTGTTTCTTTTGACTTTAAGGCTGGCGTCTTTGAATTTGTTAAGCACCGCCCTTAAACGGGTTTCCAATTGTTCCTTGTTGGCGGCTGTGACCAGCACATCATCAAAATAGGGGACCACTCCTTTTATTCCCTGGAGGAGTCTTTCCATGAGGCTTTGGAAGACTCCTGGGTGACGCTGACTCCGAATTGGAGTCAGTTGCATCGGAAGGCCCCCCTGGTGTGTGACAATCGTTTGCGCTTCGGCTGTCTCAGCATCGACCGGCAGTTGCTGATAGCCTTGCGCCAGGTCGAGTTTTGCGAAGACCCGGCCACCCCTCAGTGAGTGCAGAAGGTGCTGTACTACTGGGACGGGGTAGGCGCTTTGCTGTAGTGCGTGATTGAGGTTGGCCTTATAGTCACTGCAGAGTCTTATGGAGCCATCGTGTTTGATGGGGGTGACTATGGGCGTTTCCCAGTGGGCATGGTCGATTGGCTCTAAAACCCCTTGTGCGACGAGTTTATCTAGTTGCTCGTCGATTTTCGGCTTGAGCGCGAATGGCACTCGCCGTAGTTTGAGGCGGATCGGGGCGACGTTAGGGTTAAGGTTGAAGGAGATAGGGGCCCCTCGGTACTTGCCTAGAGAGTCGTCGAAGACCTCCTGGAAGTCCTTCACGAGCGTCGCTTCCCAGTCAGCCTCGTCTGTGTGGTGGATGCCCGTCACCTCTATTCCCAGCGGGGAGAACCATTGCAGGCCGAGCAAGCTGGGGCGGTCTTTGTCCACAACTGTGAGTGGCAATACCTCGGTGTGGTTTTTGAAGGTGACTTTGAAATGTCCGATGCCGGCC